GTCCTAAAATTTTACCCTAATTTATGAAAAAGTCCCAAACTAAAATTTGTTTACGAAAAAGCATGAATTACTGATAAAAATGAAGATTTGACCCCTTTTTTCCGGTTTACCGGTTTTATTACTTATATGTTTCACAAAAGTCCCATTATTTTACCCTAATTTGCGAATAAGTCCCAAAATAAAATTTACTGATGATTTGACCATTTTCTTCATGTAACAAACATTTTATCAGTTTCATTGATGATTTAGACACCTAGTCATTAAATTACCTGATAAGATGAATACGATGGGTTATATAATGCCACATTTACTATAAAAATTGATACTCATCTCATCGGCTCATTTATGACTATGTATCTACGTCAGTAATGAAACCAATAAAATGTGTGTTTCCAAGAAAAAAGGACAGAAAATGAGTTGATGTCTGATGAGATGGATATATCGGGTTATATAAGATTAGATAGACAATTTGATATTTCTTATAAACGTAAAAAATAATGCAGTTGTTGTTAGTTTATGTAATTATTGTATTCTTCGTTGGATGCATTTTATGTTCCAAAAAGATATAAAATACATCAGGATATCAAGTTTTATGCTAAACATATCATTATATAACTTAACATATCCATCTCATCGTCTCATTTAATGACTAGGCGTCCGGATCAGCAATTAAACCGGTAAAATGTATGTTACACAGAGAAAAGGGCTAAATCACCAGTAAATTTTATTTTGGGACTTATTTGTAAATTAGGGTAAAATAATGTGACTTTAGTGAAACATGTAAGTAATAAAACCGCTAAACCGGAAAAATGGGGTGAAATCACCATTTTTACTGGTAATTCATGTTTTTTCGTAAACAAAATTTAGTTTGGGACTTTTTCGTAAATTAGGGTAAAATTTTAGGACTTTTCTGGAGATTTCCCTAATAACAATAATAATAATAATAATAATAATAATAATAAATTATTAGAAACTTGGTCTGATTGATAACACTACTTTGTTTCTATTGGGTTTTTCACACTAAAACTTGGTCTGATTCACCAATTACTTTGTTTCTATTGGTTTTTGCACATTAGGTTCAGTATGTCATCTTAATCAACTACTCGATCATCTTAGACAACTTAGTACGCTCTTAATAAATTTTTTGATGTATCAACTGCTATGCATTTTTCATCATATCACTCAATATACCCACAATTTGAAAGCTTGAGTCACTTGATCGATAGCGTCTCACTATTATTCTTGTGAATAAGTGTTCGAGGTTAGTTGTCTAGAATAATTTTTATGTAAAAAAACTGTTTGAAATAAAAAATTTGTATTCAACATATCAAAATCCAAAATGTCATTTTTTGTCATAAATGTCCCGTTATATCTTTAGGTTAACACCAAATATAATATAATTTGTATTCCAAGTCGGAGCCCCAAATCCACTACCATTGGTTTCTTGCTCCCACAAGAGTCTACATGCCCACTATCAAAACCATAACCAATAACTCATCTCATCCTCCTCCTTATGTATCATTCTAAGTCAATCGTAGAGATAAAAAAAAATTGACAAATCAAATTGGAATGAGTGTAAGTTATGTTACATGTGGCACAAATGATAGATAGATACATAGAATTTGAACAATTCGTACTGTTTTTTATGTTAACTCTCATTGCTTCATTGGATTAGTGTAGTAATAAAACACACATTACTGAAATTAGATTAATAATCAGCTTATGGACAGTCCTATTTCCAATAGCATTAAACATTGTCGTTGCGTTAGTGTAGTAATAAAACACACATTAATGAAATTAGTATTTATCTTCCTGTGAAATGGTTAAAATGATAATAATTTGATAAAATTAATAATTCATCCAAACACTTGTTAAATAGATGAGAAGATAAATAAGAACATAAGTATGAAGATATTTCATTTTTCTTAGTTTAACAATCAACTTTTTGACAGTTCAATTTCCAATATCATTCAACATTGTAACGACATACAATTGTTACATGAATTTTTTTTCATACAGATCTTTTCCCGATTTAAACTCGAAGACAAATATATGTAACAGAATAAAAATAACAAACAAAATTATCTTATAAAATTAAAGATTTCCAAAATACTTGTCATGGAATAACATTGACAACATGCACCAGACCAATGCTAGGCTAAAGAAAGCTAAATGAAGAAGCCATAACAAAAACATACCCAAAATTAACTTCAAGGCTAATAATCATTCATAGAGAATCATCAGCATCTTCATCTTTATCTTCATCTTCATGTACGCACAGGAGCTGGGCCAGCAGCACCACCTGGGCGGGGTGCTTGACCAGGTTTGGGAAGATCATCCTGCAACACGTTCGTTCATCCCTTTAGTATGTGAATTATTTATGAATATATTCATTTTGGAATTAATCCATACAGCACTTAATGAGAAAAGAAGAAAAGAAATAAGTGAAATGAATACTCTTGGACGAGAGAATCTCTTTGGAGGTTCACGGTTCCTCCTGTCAACCCTTGAGCGAACTCTGACAACCTTCGAGTGAATTGCACAAGAAACACAGTACTGCATCTTCACGTACAGTTTTGGAAGAGTGTATTCTAAAACAAAAGAGTAATTAACTTAGCATAACGATAAACATATAAAGTAATGATACTGAATGACTACAACACTTACGTTCAAAAGCACAAGCTTCTTGAACATCTCTAACTGCAGCTTGTTCAACTATGTTCCTCACAAGAAATCTCTTGATAGCCTTATCCTGATATCAACAGTTGGAAGGAGTAAAAGATTATTAATTGATTCATAATATAATAATCGGTATACATATTAGCATACGATTGATAACTTGAATAGAATTATACGAAAAAAAAAAAAAAAAAAAAAAAAAACTCGATTCCATACCTTCGGACAGCATTTACCGCAATTGGAGCAGCGAATAAACTTAACATGGCCACGACCATGCTTGTTACGTCCGCCGTTTCTTCTCTTAAAAGTCTGCAAATATTTTCAACGAAATCATCAATTGAGAGCTATGTATCGACGAAGGTGATAGAAAAAAAACGATAAGCTCGAGAACAAACCATAATGACAACAGCGTTCGGGAGTTGCAAGTCGAGAAGGGTTCCGCCGCCTGATCTCGATCTTCAGCAATTGAGGAGAAACCACGAAACAATGTTTTTATATGGTGCCTCTTTTGAAAACCCTACTAAGCCCATTTGAGAAAATAGCTGGCCCGTAATGCAACATGGGTCGGCTATGTTCAATTGATTAAAATGGACTAAAATTTTAGAGGTCCATACCAAAATCTTTTATCAAAATCCAAATAGCCAAATAAACCGGTTTTTTAACCGACAAAAAATAACCGAATGGGTTTGAGAAGCGTTTTTTCAAACCCAATTAGGTTCAAAGTTCAAACCGAATTGTCGGTAGTAATAAGTTTTACTAAAAGTTTGAAATCGTTATTCTTCTTTTTCTTATCGGTTTTTATTTAATATAATTGAATCGCACTGGTTTTTTCATCCAAAAAAACAGTTTTTAACTTAATTTTACTTCATAAAACCGAAAAACCAAACTGGTTACCACCGAAATCGATCTAGAAAAAACATGTTAAAAATCGGACCGGTTTTTAAAAACTAAAACTAGTAAATATGCACCTCTAAATATCACCCAAAGCTGTATTATATTGAAATCGGGTCCTAATCAAATTTAACTGAATCATATTTTAAATGATAAATTAGATTCAGATCGTACAATTGAAATTGGTTATGAACAAATCTAAGGAAATGGATAAAAACCATTGTAACATTCAAGTTTTGGTAAGTTTCTCTTTTAGCCCTTAATGAAAATTTGTTAACATTTTGGTATCTGGCTAATACGCGGGGTGTACTCTATGAGTACGCTTAGCGTACTAGCCCATCAGATGATCGCGGGTTTCATCCATGTACGCGGGGCGTACGTAGAGTACGCATGGCATACGTAGTGCAGCGACAAACCTTAATTTTTAGGGTTTATACCATATTTAAACCTCATTATAACACCTCTTGGACACTTTTGATCATCATCCATCTCCCTTTTACCCTGAAATTGAAACCCTAAGAGCATTTGGTGAGTTTTTGAAGGTTGAGAGTGATTTTTTTTCGTGTTTTTCTGGTGAAGAAGAAAAAGAGGAACTCTTAGAGGAGTGACTTGAGCCTGTAGATCCAGGATTACCTTCTCATTAGCAAGCTTTTTGAGGTAAAAAGCTCACCCCTTGATGATCATTTGTGTTAGATCTGTTTTATGGAGTCTTGTGTGCATTTTGGAATCTTTTGTGTTAAAGATGAGTTTTTTGATCGACTCAAGAAGCAATGGATGCTAGATCTTAGCTCCATTTAGGCCCTATGTTCATAAAAATGCAAATTTAATGGATGTTAATGGTCCATGCAAGTTTTAAGACCTTTATTAAGCTCTTTTTTAGCCTTGAGTCCCATTAAGCCATGCATGAGTGTAAAGTTGCCAACTTTACGTGATAAGTCAACCTTTAGGACCATATCTGAGAGTTTGGCTTGAGGTCTCAACCGATTAAGTGCTGAATGGAGTGGGTTGGCAATCTGGGGAGTACGTTGGGCCTACCCAGCTGGTACGCTACGCGTACTAGCCCCGAATAGAGTACACTAAACGTACAAGTTGAGTACGCCCCGCGTACTCATCAGATGGGCTTTTGGGCTTGACGTTCTTGGTATTGAGCCATGTTTTAGACTTTGTAAGTTTGGGCCTTGTTGGGCCATTAGACTTTTGTTTTGGACGTGGGGCTAGTATGTTGGGCTTCCTTGAATTTAGGCCTATCATGGATTTGGGGCCCAATTTGGAAGATTGGGCCATTAATTGAGCTTTGGGTTGCCATTTAGGATTTGAGCCTTTTGAGTGGTTGAGTTGGACCTTGGCTTTGTGTCAAGTTAGATAAAGGGTAAAATGGTCTTTTACCTTGGTTATGTGCTAAGTAGCTTAGATTCTTGGTTGGGCCGAATTCAAATTAATAATTTGATATTATTTTGTTCAATGATAACACGTGGATTTTCCGGACCAGCAGGCAGAGATTTATTTACGTATTTCAGCAGCTAGAGGTGAGTTTCCTTATTGTGTTTAGCAGGTCGAAGGCATCAATATCGGCCCATGGTTTGGTATGTTAGGAGGCTAGATGTATGCGTGACTCTTGCATGTGTTATGTGCTTGTATGCTTACCGAGCGGGCCCCGATGACCATTTTGTATGCTATTTATCTTTGTAAATATTGCATGTGTTATGTGTTTATCTGTTTTATGATTATATGTATATCGGGCGGGGCCCGATGACGAGCGGGGTCCATTATCCGCTTATTATGTATGGTATGTGGTATTTTGGGAAACTCACTAATCTTTGTGCTTACGGTTTTCAGTTTATGTTTTAGGTACTTCTGGTTCGAATGTGAAGAGTCTGGGATGATTGCAGTGCATATACCACCTCATTCCGCATATTATGATTACTCAAATGTTTTATGATGTATTTGATACACTTTGTTCCACCATGGTTTTATGATGAGGTTTTAGATTACAGTTTTATTAATTTTTTTTAAAAAAAATTGTCTTAATTTAGGATGTTACAACCGTATTACAATTATTTATGTCGCTCCACACATTTTTTAGAGAAACATATTCAGGGAAATGAAATTTTGTTTAAGCCCTAAAATATTAAACCGGGAAAAAAATTGGTTTGAATAAATTTAAAAAAAAAACAGTTTATGCACATCTAAGCAACATATTAGATTATGAGTATGTTAAAGGTCTTCCAAAAATATGTAAAATTAAGTAAAGCCTAAAAGATAAAAACTCCAAAAAAAAAATTTAAAAAATACTTGAAGTAGTTTTTAAAATATAAATTGTTGTTTAAATAAAAACTAAAAGCTCGTACCATCAAATAAAATTTTACTTTCTTAAAATTTAAAAAAATAAATGCTAAGAGCGTTTAGCTTTTAAATTTTAAGAAAACAAAATTTTGTTCGACCGTACGAGCTTTTAGCTTTTATTTAAACAAAAACTTATATTTTAAAAATTACTTCAAGTTCTTTTAGAGCTTTTAACTTTTAGGTTTTACGTAATTTTACACATTTAAAAGCTAAAACCATTTTTATCAAAAATTTATACACATATAAAATTTACACCTTTCGGCTTCTAGCTACAATGCTAGGTTTGCCAATCATGTCTTGTATCTTCGACCAAAATGTTGTAATTTGAATGGATTTTTAAAATTCTATTTTGGAATGAACGTTTAGCTAAAAGCTTCAACTTTTGTAGTTTTGTAAATAACAAGATCCATAGGTTGATTTTCCAATTCACGTTTATACTATTCCAAAATGACATTAATGTAAAATGAATTCTGCTTGAAGTCTCATATTGTTTAGCATCAACATATAAATAGAATATAGAAGTTTGAAGCTTCTAGTTTAGCATATTTGTATAAAATATAGGTAAGTAAAAGAAAGCTTTTGATTGATATATATTCATAATAACAATTTGTCGGTCCAATGATTTTAAATGCTCGGGGCGAGATACTAAATTAGTGCCCTTTATATAAAAAATGTATATAGAAAAAAATAAAATAAATTTTATAGCCAAATTAACTGAGGTTTATACAAACAATAACATACATAGACTCATCTAAAACTATGTTTCCATGTATTTTTTGAAACAAAAACATCTCTTAATTTATGATAACCAAGAATTTGTACAAATTGACTTTTGATACTCAAAATTGCTAATTCATTTAATATTTCTTGAGTTAGCTATCTGTAACCACAAAATAAACAAAAACAACAATCAGTATAAGAACCAACATTTTATATTTTCATAAACTAAGATAACCTATCAGATTTCCAGAAATTAAAATAACCTATCATATTTTCAAATACAATTCCAAAAATTAAATTAATAAAATAACACAACATATTTTCAATAATTAGATTTTCTAGATCTTCCAAAAATTTGATACATTAGAAAATGCAAAAACTAAAATAACTATCATATTTTTATAAACATTAGTTTATTCAGTAAACAACATATGAAATATTCTTAAATAAAAAACACACATTTTAATAAATACTATTTAGTTGATAAACATTACCAAAAAAAAAAAACAATTTAAAAAGAATAAATGCAAAATGATGACACAATTCCATAACTTGATGTTCATGAATTTAATTCAGGATTTGTACCTTTTGATGCAATAAGAACAATAAATTACCAAAATTAATCTGCAAGAATAGTAGAAAATTAAGTTTCATTAGACTCGCTATTTATATGATGTTTTGAAGAAAAATGCAATTCAAAGTTATAATTTGTAAGTTTATTCCAGTTTCGACATTTGAGAAAGCATGGCTAAATACAAAATACTTAGAATCTTTGACTTGTTGATAAACAAAAGCATTCAATTTCAATTACATAAAAAAATCCTATAAATACGATAAAATAACTAGAAAACTCAAAAATATAATTCAAAAGTCATAACTCAGAATTTACAAGGGAATGTAAGAGAAATCTTCAGCAAACCTTTGAAAGTTGAGCAGAATTGGCAGCTCTGTAAAACTACAAAGATAAGTAGTCCACTGAAGCGATAATTAATGAAGAGTTGGGGATTAATGTTTTGGATTAGTGTCTAAGTTCATAACTATATTTGGTATGTACTTGACCCGGTTGTAGCATGGTCTTTTTGGGTTGCCTTCACCAAAGCAACTTGACCGGATAATTAATGGAGAAAGAGGTTATTATGGTTTATTCATATATTATAATATTAATATATTAAAAGAGCAATCATATTAGTTAATTAATATTGTTCAAGAATTAATTACTGTGATCAAAAGAGATTAATTGAACTTAAGGGGACTGAAATTGCAATTATAAGATAATTGGATTTTGGGCTGTGGATCTTGTGGATTAAGGGGGTGGACAAAATTAGGGTGGAAGCCCACCTTGAAATCGTCCAAGCCTCAATTCCAAAATGTTCCATTGGACTGCTTAAGGCCTAAGTCATCCAATTAGGGTTTTTGGCTGAAACCCTAGCAGCACCACTATATAAGGGACCCCAGGGCATCCAAAATCAGCTACCAGAAGAACCCTAGAGTCCTTAGATCCGATTTTGTGCCTCCATGTCCTCTCTCCAAGATTAT